TTTCCTGACTGTGTTTCAATTCCAAATCAAAATCAATTCCTGGGCTTCAGTCATTTATTGTCTATTTATCAATTAAAATACGTTTCGGTGTTTTCACCGCATTTTTTGCCGAGCAAGAAAATGCATGCCAAGGCTTAAAGCAGCAACAACGCTACACATAGAAACTGATGATGGTGGAAAACACCGAAACGTATTTTAATTGATAAATAGACAATAAATGACTGAAGCCCAGGAATTGATTTTGATTTATTTGTACTGATGGGCGTTCTAAGTGAGCGAGAAAGTGAAGAAACTGAAAGTAAATAGCTTGCCAGATAAAATATAAGTAGTTTTAATGTTTAATGGCATGGTGTTTATAGCATGGGCCAATTCTCGCATTCAAGAAATCCCATGTAATTACGTGAGATAACAGCGTCCTCGATCGCTATACCATGACGCAAACGGGGAATAAACCCATGATTAGTCGAGTTTTACCCAAGGAGTCCTAATATTTGATTTACCTGCTTTAATGCTAAGGCGGAGCAAAATTGGTCTTTTTACTTTTCCTGAATGAGCAGCGCATGAAAATTCCCCAAGTGTTTTGCCATTTTCATTGAACACTTCTGCTTTAATGCACTTTTGCTGAAACTACAATTTTAGAATCTTTCTAACAAAATACCGAATAACTTTTTTGTTGCATCAAACTAAAGGTATTTTTGCTCATCCTCATCGAATTCGATTACACAATAGAGGCATTTTCCTAACGGAAACCCCCCATGTTCTGTGTGATACGAAATAAACGCACCCTGTAAATACTGGGCAACCCTTATTAAGAGTATTTTAAACCGGTAAATTTCGTCCATGTCCTTTCTATTCGTTTTTAACGGGGTCGCGTCTTGCATGGGGTGATTTGATTCCCCTTGAAGCCCTTATGCAATAATGCAAGGGCCTCAGAGCCCTACAAACCGCGTAGCAGTGAGTCACCGTGCGAAACTGTGTGCGATCGTAGCGGTAAAATAATTGTTCGGTTTTTATAATTGTTGTTTTTCCTGAAATGCCCTCATTGGTTTCAGGTAAATACACCAGGAGCACTGTAGGAATTTTTAGAATAGCGGATAGCTTCTGTCTTCGACGCTCTAATTAATTTGTTTGCATCTTTACTTAGCATTTGTTGTTAGAAGATCGATTTTAGTCGTTAAAATTGGGCGCCAAATGCATCAAAAGTTTAGGTGGTTGGCGTTGACAAAAGCGTGTGAAAACAGAAGCATTTTACCCAACAATCTTCGGATGCTTATTGAATCCAAACATGCTTTATTTGAACAGCATTGCTGCCTGTTCGAATAACTAATGCGCGAAAATTCATCGAAATTGTAGATATTTACTACTTGCTTGGAGGGTTTCGGTATTTTTTTTGTGGTTGCTCACCTATTTACTCGGTTATTAAACAAATATGGTGGGCACATGTGAAAAATGGCCATTTTACTGCAAAGAATGTCAATTAGTTTATCAACTAGATATTAGCGTCATCTAAAAATCGAAAATGTGTCTACATGCTTAAGGCAAACTGCCAGGTTTATTCATATTTGTATTCCTGAACGCCTTGTGAATGCGATGTGTTTAATTGTCCAAATTCCAGGAATTTCATAATTCTAACGATGTTAGTTCGGTTGTTGGATGGTTGCACGAAAAACAACATTCTGATGATGATATTTCTAAAATTACGCCCAGATGCTGAGTGGAGAACAAGCAAGAAAAACTAACTTTCTGAACCCAAATCGATTAAAAATCCTTGTCCAATTTGAGGGGGAAT